AGGTCTATTTCTTATAAATTTCTACATAATATTCCAAAAAGAGTTTCTCAGAGTAAGTTATTATTATTAAAGCATTCATGCAATAACTTTTAACATAATACACACCTTTGTACGGTAAAAATTAGCATTATGATAATATTTTAAGCAAAAACTGTAAACCTAGTAAAATAATTATTTCTTAAACGGAAATCTTAAGCAGAAGTCTCTTTGTTGTTTCCATTAAATCGCATTCGATTAATCTGGACTCGTTTTAATGGAGTTAAAGTCGCGATGAAATCCATTTCCTTTTCAATTAATAATGAACGCAAACTTGGGACGTTCTAATACAAACTTATAGAGTATGAAATAATCGAATTAGTGCCTCCTCAATGGAGGATTAGAAACTAAATTTTACAGACAGGTGCTTCAACGCAAGACCGGTTCGAATTTATGCTTTTATTGTTTAGTTTTGGCCTGTCAAGAGATTTATTGCGATTTTCTTTAATTTATTATTAAGGAAAGGCACTTGTACTCTGTTCCTCAATTCGTAATTATGTATAGTCATTGGCAAAAGAATGATTCGTTCAATTGGCCGCCTCGATCGTAGGATTTAATGCGTTTGGATCTTTTCTTTAGGCGTATATGTTATTTCAACTGGCAACACTGTTCAGGTAAGGTGTTTCAGGAAATCGGCCACGATTTAAAACAATTTTAGTGAATGATAATCTTTTCGTCATGGCTAAAGAGATTATATTTCTTTTTTTTTTCTAAAAAGTGACATTTAAAATATTCGATTTCCAATTAAAGCGCGGAAGTTGACGTCCTCTTTGCATGAACAAATAGCCAATTTACGTGGTTTAAAATTTTACGGTTCGATTGGGTCCCACCTGTACTTGATGATTATCGAGTATTTTCCTTATTTGTCATTATTTAATCACTTATCTGTTAATTGATTAAAACTTGTTTTATGCTACTGTAGTGCCTGTTTACTTTGTACTTTATTTGAAGAATTATGTGCTGATATTTTTTTATGCAAACATATTTTTTTTTACTTTTAAGACAAATTATTTCATTAAGAACCAACATGAATTATCTGACACTCTGTATAACCAATATTGACAAACCAACAACAATTGGACATTACTTTAATCGTTACGTAACGAGTCAATTGCCCCACGCAAGTGCCACCTATTTGGTGAAAATTTATTAGTAATGAACTATTAATAATGACCATTTCTCATGAAATATAATTTATTATTCCATTAGTATCTTATAATAAATTGGCAAGGTGTTTTGTAATCAACGCTTTTTTAATTTTATTGCTTATCGTTAAAATTAGAAACGAAAAGATTATAGGAGTGAAAATAGGCGATTAACAAAATTTATATTTGGAAACTCCAAATAAATAAAACCACTTTTATATATTATTATTAATTTACCTACATTGTTTTTATTGAATACATTTCATAATTTTCTGGTTTAACAATAAAATAAAACGTTTTGGTATATGGAGTAGACAATACCGAGATCATGTGGGCTTTAACTGTAGAAAATAAAATCAGTATAACCCCACACAGTTTGTGTAGAAACTCCAAAGATAACCAAGCTGTGAATGAATGTTCTTGTGTAATCTTAACGGCATATTGTTGGGATCGATTTATTTTGCGAAAATGTTTTTAGAACGGTTATAAACCTGTGTCATTTAGAACCACTAATTTTTAAAAATAAAGGTTAAAAAAACGTACCCACGAAATCACGTCATTTAATTTTTTTACACAGCCATTCTAATTATTTTAACCTAAACAGATTTTTTATCCTCTATTTTGTAATAAATCATTTTTTTTCAAATATTTTATGTTTTTACATAATACAAAAATTTTACTTAAAGAAAATAACAATTTTATTTTTTTAAATAAAAAAAAATTCTGGTTTTAATTTTTGATTTTTTTTTTTAATAAAACCACAGATTTGTATTTATCTTATATTAAATATATGTTGGAAACAAATCTTGATCTTTTAGTTTGACGATTATACATTGCTTTCGAATCTATAGTGGTATCATAACCTAAAAACACCACTTGATATACAGGGTGTTTCACATTCGTGGTCCATTGGAAGTTTCTGGAAAACGGAAAAAATATAGATTTGAAATTTGAAAGTGTTTATAATCCATTAAGTCTATTTTTTTAAATATTTTGAACAAAATGCAACTTCCGGTTTGACCGGAAGTGACATCAACTTTGTTATTTCAAATAGAACACCCCATATATTTTTACATTTTTAAATTCTACATAAAATTCTGAGTAAAATTACTATACATGTCCTATACCTAAAGTGAATAGTTTTGTAGATGTTTGCTATTAGGTTTACGGAAATGCGGGTAAAATGTTTGATCTTAAAATATTGTTTAAAAAATTCCATGGCAATTCTTTAAAATTTTTCAACAAATTACCCGAGAAACCCTAGGGCAAATTGGGCTAACTTGAAACGTTAATAACTTTTTTATTTTAAACGTAACACCCGCTATGGAATCTTTTAAACAATGTTTTAAGATTCCAAAAATTCCACCCCCATTTCTGCAAACCTAATAGCAAGAAAGTTATAGGCTATTTTTGATTGACGCGCATTTGTCATATTTTAATGAACAAAATTAATAACTCCAAAACTATTTACTCTAGGTTTAGGACATGGTACAGCAATTTTACTCAAAATTTTATGTAGAATTTAAAAATGTAAAAATATATGGGGTGTTCTATTTAAAATAACAAAGTTGATGTCACTTCCGGTCAAGCCGGAAGTGGCATTTTGTTTAAAATATTTTAGAAAAATAGGCTTAATTGGATTATAAACGCTTTAAAAATTTAAAATCGATATCTTTTGCCGTTCCTCAGAAACTCTCAATAGACCACGAACGTGAAACACCCGTATTTCGTAAATGTGCAACACCCTGTATATAATTAAAATAATTTTAAAATAAATAAATAATCTTAATGGTTGTCAATTTATTCATTGAATATATAATCTGTTATATTATGTGCCAAATACCGTAGATAACATTTTATTGGATCGCACTTAAAAAAAAAATGACGTGATCTGAAAAAACGCGAAGACACGGGTATCATTTTTTTAAGTCTATTTTCAAAATCTATAGAAATTTTTCATGGGAGGGAAAAAAATCAAATTTTTTCGTACTGTGTTACAATACGTAATAGGTACATGTTAATTTATTCTTTTGGTAGTACAAACAGAACAAAATATTGTTCAAACAAAAGTAACAGAGTTCATATTTGCTTGGAAACACGACAACCGTGTTAGCGAGCAGTCATCAAACTCTTCTTCGAGACTAGGAAGTCATCTAAATTGGTCAATATGGCTTAAATGCCACAGTACCACTTATGGATTGACTAGCGGCATGTTACCTCGCAAAAAAAATCGTAATTGATACTAAATCATATCCATTATGTTCGAGTGCCGCGTTCGAGTAGTGATCATACGTGTACACGGTACAGTTAGGGAACGTGCTTATGACATTTAAGATATTTTCTCAGGCCGATGTTAATAGATGTAAATATTATCGACTTTGCATGGGAAACATAAATATTTTTTTTATCGGAGATGGTAATTTCATCTTTTATTTTAATTTTCGAGATAGTTTCGTGTCAAGGTTTTCTATTTCGAATTTTCAAAATGATAAATTCATTTATCACAACAGTTGAGCTATTTTTACACGCTTCGTCTGTTGAATTTTTTTATCATGTAGATAAATTGCTGGTATAAAATAATTTGGCCATACATTTATGCATTATCGGCCCACCTACGTAGAGGTAGAAACCCATTAATTAACAGTCAAATTCCAATTTTTACTTTTTGGCAGTCCTCCAAAACGAAAAATTATTTTTTGCTTTCCAGATTTTTATTTGCGTCATTTTGGTATTTGTAAATAAACAATTTTATCCACGTAGGTATGTATGTATATAATAAAATGTGGGTAATTTAATATTATCTGATAATTTTATTGTGTTTATGTTCCATACACTTCGTTCATAAAAATCTACTAGTAGGTATAATAATTGGAATAGGTACCTAATTAATTTTGCCAAATCAATACGTTTGTTTGGTTATCTAGGTCGCTGAACAGGTTTTAAAAAATCTGATAGTATGGTGATAACTTTAAAATAACTTTGTTATTTGCATATTAATGTTTTGTATAATCTAATCTCATCATTAAAATATTCAATTAATAAAATCTTTATACATACACACCTAAACCCTGTAGTTCCCGCGAAAATTTGGTTTTTTAATATTCTACTATACTACCCATGTAAATGGTGTGTAACAAAAGAAAATAATACACTGCATTTTCTTATCTAAATACATTCATTAAACAAAGTTCATAAAACATAAATAAACCACATAATGATTAAATATTTACTGTATGATAATTCATTTATATACAAATTTAATAGTAAGTAATAAAAAATAATATAAATAATGTATTTAAATCTTATCGGTGCATTCCAAATTTACCAATGAAGTTCAAATTTGCCTAATGTTAAATCAATAAACAATTTCCCCGGACAATGGGCCAATAATTCGCAATTCAATTAAATGAAAATCCTGATAGACCATAACAATCAATTTACAGGTTTTGGGGTGTTCCGCAAGGTTACATTTTTAAAGACAATTTATAATTTAAATATCAAGCGGTTCGTGGAACGACCCTTAACAAAGAAAACTTGATTTACACGATTGCTTCATGCAAGTTTAATTAAACGAAGTAAAACGTAATTTCAGAGTGCAACCACAGTAACTAAAGAAAGTAATTAAAACACTAAAATAGGCGAATAATTATAAACTGTGGCATATCTTTGAGGCTCGCTTTGAGGTTAAATCTCTGCGGCAAAAATCGATAAAGTAACAGCTGAGAGAGTGTTTAAGGGTTGTTCGTACACCTGATCAATACATCTGCTGGTGGTGTCAAAATGAGGGATGATGTATTTTTCTTAGTCATAAATAATTACCTTTTTGGCTTCCAACGGCGTTTCAAGACCCCCAACATGATGATAACTTCAAAAACTCACAAAAATCCCGAACTACTTCAACATTTCATTGAGAAAAACTCGATTTCCACGTCAAATTTTCATTTCAATCGCGATAAATGAAACCACCGTCAAAATGTCCGCGTGATAAACGAAAAACTGTCTCACCACTCTCTTACATGATAAACTTGTCAAATTCCCGACTAAAATCGACTTTTTCAGTCGTCGAAAACCGCGAACTTCCCTGATTGTCGCTCTCGAAGTTGCAGTGTTGCACACAATTCCGCTTTCCTCGGCTCAAAATAAACAAGTCAAGTAGACTGTGCTAGTTGGTCACGTGACGCCGAACGAGGCCCGCCATTGGCTCGTTACCCACACACAGCGGCACATGAATAGAACCAATAAGAAGCGGCGTTCCAGTAACGCGTTTTTGGAACTGGGCCCCAGTTACTGGGGCCTTAGAAAAATTGCTCTCAAATTTTAACTGCAGGTTTATAATTTAAAAATAAAAATTAATTAATGAATTTTATATATCTAGCTAACGTTTTTAAAATAATTTTTTATTATTTTTGTGTTCTCTTAAATCCCCAGAACCAGAATTCATATTGTAATAGCATTGAGTAAGATGTAAGATCTTTACTCAATGGTAATAGTATATTTCTCAACGGGATGGTGAGATTTCGGGCGAGTAGGAAATGTGCCAGCGCCAAACGATTAGAAATTTTGATTCTGATTTAGAATTTTTATTAAATTTAATCCATGGATGCATAAACAATATAAGGTGTAAAAAAAATTTTTAGTGGTGGACACGGAATTTCGAACATCATAATTTGGTTTTCCTTGAGGGGTTCTGTAAATAGCAAAGATACAATAATAACCACTTTTGCTTCCGCTGTCAAAATGACAAGAATAGTTATAACCGGAAGTAAGGTTAATTGTCAAAAAAGGCAGTTTAGATTTTGACAGAATGATGGTCGTTTTTTTTCTATTTCCATACTTATTTTTGTTTATTAGACATTTTCTACCTGTACTATAATAATATCCATTATGATACAATTGTATATTTAAATTTTCAACCACGAAACAGATTTTTAATCGATAAAAATGCAATACACTATTGCCTTTGACATCTGACAGATCAAATATTTATCAATTTTGCCAAGATACTGTTTGCATACAATTTTAAACCCTGAATGTGAAATTGAAAATTTAACCACAACACAACTTATTACCCGTAAAATCAGCAAAAGGGTACGAAACAGTGGCGGCTGGTGGATTTTGGGCACACCCATATCTCAGTTATTAGACATGGCACCCACATCAAATTTATATGACATTATATAGACAAGTTCTGCGCAAGCTGAATTCAAATTGAAGTTTGCGAAAAAAGTTAGTTTTTAAGTGTGCCCCCACCCTCCTGTCCCCCCAAATTAAGATAATTCAAATTAAAGTGGTACAATATTTAATTTACTGAAGTTTATCAAAAAACTTCAAATTTTAGTAAAAAAATTCAAGTATTACAGATTGTATACCATTTCTTTTTTTTTTTAATTTAGTAAAAGAAATAATAAAAATTTAAAATGGTATAAAATCTGTAATTCTTCAAATTTTTTAATAAAATTTGAAATTAGTCGATAAACTTCAGTAAATTAAATATTGTACCACTTTAATTTGAATTATCTTAATTTGGGGGGGCAGGAGGCTGGGGCCTGGGCACACTTAAAAACTAACTTTTTTTCGCAAACTTCAATTTAAATTCTGTTTGCGCAGAACTTGTCTATATAATATCATTGTAAACTCATATAAATTTGATGTGGGCCCCATGTCTAATAACTGAGATATGGGTGTGCCCAAAATCCACCAGTACTACGAAACATTTCAGAATTAAAGTTTTAATTTTCTACCTTTGGGTAGATAGTCGTAGTCGCACTCATTATGACATTATTCTCTTGCTCATTTTTTAATCATCATCATTGCATAAAATACTAATTAAACTCAGATGTACCTGTCAAATTAATAGGTTTAATTAAATCACCCGACATTTCCATTTAAAAAAGAGTTTCACATAACATTTTAAATATCAATAAAACACTTTATAAGGCAGGCAAAACCTGCCTAACGATTATTAATTAGAGCCACCCAATTAAACTCTCAAGAACACCACCCAACGCAATGGAAATTTGCTGAGCACGGTGCAGGTGTTTTTCTATTAAGGCCCCTTGATACTTGCAACTGCAAAGGATAATAAAACGCATTGCAATGTATGAATTAATGTCGGCAATTATTATCGCCATTCGCCGATTTTTTTTGTTTCGTTTCAAAGGCGCTAACTCGGCATAAAATTACCAATTGAGATCCCAATTCAAATGATCACGTACCTTATTTATGAAATGGGTAGGACTCATACAGTTTTTCTATGGAAGGACCTATTACAATAGTTATACAGAGATTATATTTATTTATAAATTTTGAAAAACTATAGGGGCGCCATCTCTTTTACAGAAGCCACACAACCAACGAAACGAGTCACGCCTAGCAGGCATTGCCTACCTTGATCTTCACTCTATCTTTGCTATTGGTCGCTAGGCAACAAAGCAACCTCTTATCTCACCGCTTTCCCACTACTTTATGTAAATATAAGACAACTCAAACCACATTTTCATTAAGATCATACTTCACAGGATCATTTCTGTAGTATATCTTCGCATACTCTCTACTCAAACGTAGAGTTGTCGCAACCACGATGACGAGGTGTAGTTTCGTGCTCTGAGCGTGAGGCAGATTCAGTTCGAGTCCATTTTTGTGGATTCAAACGAGTCATCGATGATCGTTCACCTGTGGATTCGTCCACAGGCCATGGGTACGAAACATTCTGAGTGGAACTTTTGATTCAATACAAACATAATTACTTTAATTTAGAGATGAGCGTTACCGTGATTTTTTAATCACACTGATATTAGTTACTGTGTTTCTCTTTTTAAACGTGTCGTGATCACAGGTTTTAAACTGATTTTGATAAAAAACAGCTTTATTTGTAATATTTTGTTGCTAATGTTTACAATAAATTAAAAGTTATTGTAAGCAATTTTTAATGTAAAAAACAAAATAAAAAAACCCTGAAAGTCTTTAAACATTTAAGTGTGATTTATAAATTTCCTTCCTTTCTTTTTTTCTTTCTCCTGACCGTGAATCATAAACAATACGATAAATAGCATTAGCAATTCACGGTTGTATCGTTATTTAATGCTTTTTAATATCAGTGAAAAAAAATTATTGTGATAAATAGCAACTCACGCATTTATCGCTATTTAATACTTTTTAATATCAATGAAAAAAACACAATTCGTGAAATATCGCTGATCTCTAAAGTGCAGTAAAAAATTACAGATCACTCTAATTAACAGATGTAAGTAGCAGTCGTTATTAGTAATTTTTAAATATCAGTGAAAAAATCACACTTCGTAAATTATCGCTCATCTCTACTTTAATTATTGGAAGGTTATTAAATTTATAAAAACTTTGATTTTTTGCGTTACGCAAATAAGTAAATTTTATACATTTATTTTTCAAATTCTGAAAGAGTGGCGCAGGTGTGTTTTTAACATCCTGTAAGAAGATGTTTATATTACAAGCCTTATGTAATTAAATTTACAAAGCTTTTTGAATTATCTATAAATTTTGAAAAACTATAGTGGCGCCATCTCTTTTACAGAAGCCACACAACCAACGAAACGAGTCAAGCCTAGTAGGCATGCCTACCTTGATCATTACTCTTTGCTATCTTTGCTATTGGTCGCTAGGCAAGAAAGCAACCTTATCTCACCGCTTTCACTCTAGTTTACTAATATATAAGACAACTCAAACCACATTTTCATTAAGATCATACTTCACAGGATCATTTCTGTAGTATATCTTCGCATACTCTCTACTCAAACGTAGAGTTGTCGCAACCACGATGACGAGGTGTAGTTTCGTGCTTTGAGCGTGAGGCAGATTCAGTTCGAGTCCATTTTTGTGGATTCGAACGAGTCATCGATGATCGTTCACCTGTGGATTCGTCCACAGGCCATGGGTACGAAACATTCTGAGTGGTACTTTTTATTTAATACAAATATAAATACTCTATTTATTGAAAGATATTTAATTTAGTATATATTTTCGCAATTTTGATTCTGAGTTGAACTTTGATTCAATACAAACATAATTAGGTACTTTAATTTAGAGATGAGCGTTACCGTGATTTTTTAATCGCACTGATATTAGTTACTGTGTTTTTCTTTTTAAACGTGTCGTGATCACATGTTTTAAACTGATTTTGATAAAAAACAGCTTTATTTGTAATATTTTGTTGCTAATGTTGTAATGGGCACGATATATGGGCAGTTAATTTTTAACATTTCTTAATTTATTTTTTAAGCTTTACGAAATATGAGACTAGTTTTAAATATTTGTTTTTAAAATTGTATTAGGTGTTAGGTATAAGTTTCACTTCCATACATTCTTTATTTGTTTATTATGCAATAATAATTTATGACTCCCATCTGGACAACCACTTAAGGGTTCGTTACAGAAAGAAAATAAGCAAGTTTTGGTTCATGTTGCTAGTCTTTAAAAAATATACCTAAAAAGAGAGCTTGTTAAAAACTTAGAGAGGAGAGTATATTTTAGGCAGTTACGTTTTACTCTTTGAAGGGACGAGTTTAATTCTTTAATTTTGAAGAGTTGGTTTTTGTTATTTAAAGAGAGTAGTTATTTAATTTATCCATTGGTTTTATATAAATTCAGTTTTGTGAAAGTGTTGTTTATTTATATAGGTATGTCTTTTCTATAATTATTTATAATAACTTAAAGTCACAAATATCATAATAAGTGGTTAATTAATTCATATTTAATTTAAACTATAATTTATTTGTTTATTTTATTTTCTTCTTCGCGAAAGAAGTATATTTTGGGTTGTGGTTGGACAAACTTAATTACTTATTTATTATAATCATTATTTTATGTTTACCATTTAAATATTCACATTTTATTATTGTTATATTGTAATGCAATGTATCATGTTATTACATATTTCTATTTAACTTTAACATACTTTGTTTTGTACAGTTTACATTATTTTGCTATTTGATAAATTGATATTCTTTATATAATATGTTTAGACTTTGTTTTAATTTCTGCACATCAAAAGGTATATATATATATATATTTATTTATTTATTGGTATTTGTTTTTGTTGGTGGTTTTGGGGAGACCAGTGGATCGGCTTTCTATAGAAAAGCGCACTGATTGTTCTTACCCTTAATTTATTAACAATGAACTGTTATTTATGTGTATGTTTTATTTCAGGTATTGATGTGAGAGTTTTATTGCATTGTCTTATTTTTATTATTATTGATAATCAATTTATTTTAACATCTTTAATTTGACTTGATATACTTTTATTAATTTATTATTATTATTTATATTATTTATATTTATTATATCTGCTTTTATTTATGACTGTACACAAATATTATTGCATTACGGTTGTCCACCGAAATACCACTTGTTATTTATATATTTTATTCACCACTACTATTTATTATGTTCTCTGTGACTTAAGTTACATGCTATTTTATTTTACACATTGTTTTTGTTTGTTGCTGTACATTGATAATAGTTTCAATTTGTATTTGCTATTTAAACACCGTCCGAGCCTAACATTTATGTAGGTGAATAATCTTAACAATATGATAATGTGATTGATGATATTATATTTGATTACTTGATTACTTTGATTTTGTTATATTATTTATATTGTTTAGATGTGCGACACATATGCATGTCTGGATTGTATATGTGGGTTTTTAAGGTTTATCCTTATTAACTTAAATCTATAATACTTTTAAAATATAAATGTTTTTATTTATATTATTAATGTACAGTTGAAATAATATTAACTCTTGTATTAATTGTCTTTATTAATAAACTTATTTTAATTTAATACTTTTTCTTTGCTTTTTAAATATCTTTTCAATTAATCAAGTACTTACGTATCCAGAACCGTATTCACAACAAAAAGGGGTCCTAACTTAATTTCTTTAAACTAGACGATCACGTGTTTTGGCCAAAGGTAGTTTTTTTGTGGTTTTAATATTCTTTTTAATTATTAATGTGTGCCCCCCTTGCCCCCGTTCGTTACAATGTTTACAATAAATTAAAAGTTATTGTAAGCAATTTTTAATGTAAAAAACAAAATAAGAAAACCCTGAAAGTCTTTAAACATTTAAGTGTGATTTATAAATTTCCTTCCTTTCTTTCTTTCTTTCTCCTGACCGCGAATCATAAACAATACGATAAATAGCATTAGCAATTCACGGTTTTATCGTTATTTAATCAGTGAAAAAAAATATTGTGATAAATAGCAACTCACGCGTTTATCGTTCCTTAGGTAATACTTTTTAATATCAGTGAAAAAAACACAATTCGTGAAATACCGCTGATCTCTAAAGTGCAGTGAAAAATTACAGATCACTCTAATTAACAGATGTAAGTAGCAGTTGTTATTAGTAATTTTTAAATATCAGTGAAAAAATCACAGTTCGTAAATTATCGCTAATCTATCTCTACTTTAATTATTGGAAGGTTATTAAATTTATAAAAATTTTGATTTTTTGCGTTACGCAAATAAGTAAATTTTATACATTTATTTTTCAAATTCTGAAAACCCCCGAAAAGTGGTGCAGGTGTGTTTTTAACATCCTGTAAGAAGATGTTTATAAACATAATATAAATATTACATAATATAAATATTACAAGCCTTATGTAATTAAATTTACAAAGCTTTTTGAATTATCTATAAATTTTGAAAAACTATAGTGGCGTCATCTCTTTTACAGAAGCCACACAACCAACGAAAAGAGTCAAGCCTAGTAGGCATTGCCTACCTTGATCATTACTCTTTGCTATCTTTGCTATTGGTCGCTAGGCAAGAAAGCAACCTTATCTCACCGCTTTCACTCTAGTTTACTAATATATAAGACAACTCAAACCACATTTTCATTAAGATCATACTTCACAGGATCATTTCTGTAGTATATCTTCGCATACTCTCTACTCAAACGTAGAGTTGTCGCAACCACGATGACGAGGTGTAGTTTCGTGCTCTGAGCGTGAGGCAGATTCAGTTCGAGTCCATTTTTGTGGATTCAAACGAGTCATCGATGATCGTTCACCTGTGGATTCGTCCACAGGCCATGGGTACGAAACATTCTGAGTGGAACTTTTGATTCAATACAAACATAATTACTTTAATTTAGAGATGAGCGTTACCGTGATTTTTTAATCACACTGATATTAGTTACTGTGTTTCTCTTTTTAAACGTGTCGTGATCACAGGTTTTAAACTGATTTTGATAAAAAACAGCTTTATTTGTAATATTTTGTTGCTAATGTTTACAATAAATTAAAAGTTATTGTAAGCAATTTTTAATGTAAAAAACAAAATAAAAAAACCCTGAAAGTCTTTAAACATTTAAGTGTGATTTATAAATTTCCTTCCTTTCTTTTTTTCTTTCTCCTGACCGTGAATCATAAACAATACGATAAATAGCATTAGCAATTCACGGTTTTATCGTTATTTAATGCTTTTTAATATCAGTGAAAAAAAATTTTTGTGATAAATAGCAACTCACGCATTTATCGCTATTTAATACTTTTTAATATCAATGAAAAAAACACAATTCGTGAAATATCGCTGATCTCTAAAGTGCAGTAAGAAATTACAGATCACTCTAATTAACAGATGTAAGTAGCAGTCGTTATTAGTAATTTTTAAATATCAGTGAAAAAATCACACTTCGTAAATTATCGCTCATCTCTACTTTAATTATTGGAAGGTTATTAAATTTATAAAAACTTTGATTTTTTGCGTTACGCAAATAAGTAAATTTTATACATTTATTTTTCAAATTCTGAAAACCCCCGAAGAGTGGCGCAGGTGTATTTTTAACATCCTGTAAGAAGATGTTTATATTACAAGCCTTATGTAATTAAATTTACAAAGCTTTTTGAATTATCTATAAATTTTGAAAAACTATAGTGGCGCCATCTCTTTTACAGAAGCCACACAACCAACGAAACGAGTCAAGCCTAGTAGGCATTGCCTACCTTGATCATATAATATTACTCTTTGCTATCTTTGCTATTGGTCGCTAGGCAAGAAAGCAACCTTATCTCACCGCTTTCACTCTAGTTTACTAATATATAAGACAACTCAAACCACATTTTCATTAAGATCATACTTCACAGGATCATTTCTGTAGTATATCTTCGCATACTCTCTACTCAAACGTAGAGTTGTCGCAACCACGATGACGAGGTGTAGTTTCGTGCTTTGAGCGTGAGGCAGATTCAGTTCGAGTCCATTTTTGTGGATTCGAACGAGTCATCGATGATCGTTCACCTGTGGATTCGTCCACAGGCCATGGGTACGAAACATTCTGAGTGGAACTTTTGATTCAATACAAACATAATTACTTTAATTTAGAGATGAGCGTTACCGTGATTTTTTAATCACACTGATATTCGTTACTGTGATTCTTTTACATCAATGATTCTTAAACGTGACGTGATCACAGGTTTTAAACTGATATTGATGAAATCGCATTATACGTCGTTATATTGTGTCCGTTCAATTTAACAGTGTTAATTTTTTGAATTTATTTTTATTTTAAAAATAAAACTATTTTCAATAAAATCAGCTTTATTGGTAATATTTTGTTGCTAATGTTTACACAAAATTAAAAGTTATTGTAAGCAATTTTTAACGTAAAAAATTAAAAAAAAAAACCTGAAAGGGTTTAACATGTATGTATTTCCTTTCTTCCTTTCTTTCTCCTGACCGTGAAACATAAACAATACGATATATAGCAATAGCAATTAACGGTTTTATAGTTATTTAATACTTTTTAATATCAGTGAAAAAAACACAATTCGTGAAATATCGCTGATCATTAAATTGAAAAATCACAGATCATGCTAATTAACAGATGTAAGAAGCAGTCGTTTTTCGTGATTTTTAAATATCAGTGAAAAAATCACAGTTCGCTCATCTCTACTTTAATTATTGGAAGGTTATTAAATTTATATAAATTTTGATTTTTTGCGTTACGCAAATAAGTAAATTTTATACATTTTTTTTTCAATTCTGAAAGGTGGCTTCATAAAAAACCCCGAAGAGTGGCTTATGCAGGTGTTTTAACATCCTGTAAGAAGATGTTTATGTTTATTACTTATGTAATTAAATTTACAACGCTTTTTGAATTATCTATAAATTTTGAATAACTATAGTGGCGCCATCTCTTTCACAGAAGCCACACAACCAACGAAAGAAATTATGCCTAGTAGGCATCGCCTACCTTGATCATTATTACTCTTTGCTATTGGTCGCTAGGCAAGAAAGCAACCTTATCTCACCGCTTTCAATTTAGTTTACTAATATATAAGACAACTTAAACCACATTTTCATTAAGATCATACTTCACAGGATCATTTCTGTAGTATATCTTCGCATACTCTCTACTCAAACGTAGAGTTGTCGCAACCACGATGACGAGATGTAGTTTCGTGCTCTGAGCGTGAGGCAGATTCAGTTCGAGTCCATTTTTGTGGATTCAAACGAGTCATCGATGATCGTTCACCTGTGGATTCGTCCACAGGCCATGGGTACGAAACATTCTGAGTGGTACTTTTTATTTAATACAAACATAATTACTCTAATTATTAAAAGATATTTAGTGTAATATAATTTTCACAATTTTGAATTGAACATGAGGACAAATTTGAGTTTATTTGTATTCTGGGTTGCATATCTACATGAATTATTTCTCATTCATTTTTGCTAAATATTATTTTTGAATATAAATTATCCCTCATATTCATTTTAAATTTTTATATACATATATATTCAAAACATGCTAAACATAGGTAATATAATTCAGTTTAAAATTAATTTACTCAACACAAATAACCTACAAAAATCGGCATGACCTAACCTAAAAAGTGATACGAAAAATCTAATTTTCTGAATAAAAATGGCAATGCAGCGTTACTTATTATACATATCATACATAGGAAAACCATTTCGGTAAACTTTAATCCACAGTAATTTTTATTTGTTGTTATTTTGATTTTTTGTAGAGGTGCTCAAAGACAAGTGAAGGCTGGCACCCCCAGGCCAGATGACCCTAGCACTGTCCAAGGCCGACTAGAAATGGGTTTAAAGTTATTGAACCCTTGTAATGAACCTGCGATTTTTTTATCTAGCAGGTAAATAAATATAAAAGCAATTTTGTTTACGATAAATCATTTTTATTTTAGAACTGACTCTGGAGTACACGCTTTAAGTTCCACGTGTCACGTAGATTTATACAGGAAAAGTGGTTTAATTTATGACCCGCAAACCGTCACAATATGTTTAAATAAATACTTTTTAAAGGAGGATGTCCCGATTAGGGTTTTAAAGACTTATTTGGTGCCGAATGACTTTCACTGCAGACATAAAGCTACCCTAAGGACTTATTTATATAAATTAATACTTGCTCAATCTGATAACTACAAGAAACCCTCACTATTTCATTGCCCCATCGAGGAATTAGATAGAAGTTTATTTCACATGTATAATATACAACTATTTCATATTTCATATTAAAACAATACATTTTAGAGGCCAAAACTTTAATATAGAAAAAATGAAAGAAGCAGCCAAACTTATAGAGGGTCATCATGATTTTAGAACCTTCATGAGTCAGCATGTAGGCCATGCCGATAGGGAAACTCGAAGGGTGTTGGAAAAAATTGAAATTCAAGAAAGTTGCAAATTTGGTTACAGCAATTATAGTTACCCATCGTTCATAGAGCCTTGTGAATATCATTTCTTGAATATCCACATTCAATCAAGGGGTTTTTTGTACAAACAGGTAATTAGTCATATGATTTAACATTCTTAAGACAGGGGAAAAGGCATAACCATTACAGGTACCATTTCGAAGATAAATCTTTTAGTGTTAATTTAACAAGAGTTACGTAATAACCTCCATATTTAACAAGAGTTACGTAATAACCTCCATATTAACATTTCCTGATAATTCAAGGAGATTAATTTTTGATAACGCGTTGGCGTAAATTTCCAGAATTTTCGATTTTACTGCCAACCTAACCACAGCAAAATAATAGTTATTTTCATTATTTATAGCTTTATGTGCAATTAAATTCGTATTAATCATAATTTATGATTATATTTACTGCTGTTTTTTATTACTTTTAAATCTGCATTAAGTAATTATTGATTATTTAATTTAAAAATTAGTTTATCTGGAGTTGGCATTCTGGATCTAGTCGTTAACTTTGACAGTAGGGGGCGCAAGTTCGCCAAGTGACATTTTAAGTGTGCTGAATTATCTTTGAAATAATTGGAAAAAACTGTTTGTTTTGCTGTACATGCATGTGGAAATAACCGAGAAGGAACGCATTTAACAAAGTTAGTATCCAAATAGTTAATTAATCGAGCCATTTTTGATATTTGTTGGATTGATTTTGAGGCACGTTTCTTAACCTCTAAGCGGCCGGTGGGTCTTGGAGGGAAACTAGCAAAATGGCTTCCTAGTGAAGCCGATTGTAAGGTATTTTGCTACCTTAGAACTAGCTTAATCCAAGTCCATTTTTATAGGAATGTTTAGTTTTCAATTTAAATATGTATACAGGGTGATTCAGGAGGAACACACAACATTTTAGGGAGTGCACAAATAATTTAAAAAACTCTAGGAAATGTTATTCGATTTTCATTTGGTTTTAAGCTATAGTTGGTTTAAAAATGAGAATGTACCAATTCTATGTATAACTTATTTGAAATACTGCAGCCAATAATAAAGAATAAAATGGATGCCTTTTAAATGCAAAGTTTTTTAAATTTCTCCTTCAAAAGAATTATGGATAAATACATAACTTAAAAACAGATAAAAATTGGATACCATAATAGACATGCTTGTGTAAAAAATATATTAGGACCAATTTTCAACCTTCTTACTTGAATTTTACTTACTTGATGAGCTTTGAATCGTAATAAAACTACATGTTCAACTAAAGTGTCTATAATACAGCTTTAAAAATAAAATAATCTGTCATTTTTAAAACTTACACTTGTAGTACCTACTATATTTAGAAAGTTTACAAAAAAACAATTTATGATTTTTTTAATAATTTTGTATTTTTCTGTTCACTTTTTAGTTTCTATTTTCTTATTATAATAATGTTGCAAAGGAGCCGTTTATTGAAGTAATCGTTAATACGCCCTTTTTGCGTATTTTACCAGAACAATCATTTTATTGTCTCAGCATTTTTACCAGTTCTTTTATGTTTTGTGTTGATTGTGGAAATTAAGATTAAAAACCTTACTCTCTAAAAATGAATTGATCAAAAATGACTAGTTACTACAGTTATTAGTGGCTGCTTTTTCACATTGAGAAAAAAGTTTATGGTTCCCAAATAAAAAGAATAATTAAATATGGGACAGAAGCATTGTTTATTTATCCTAAATATATTTATATTCCTGACACATAAAGTTTTACTAAAGTAAATTTATCATTATTATTTCGACTATTTAGAGGTAATAAACAATATACCTATTCACTATTAATAAAAAGTATTAGCTACACTTATAACATGGTTAACACTTATAACATGGTTAACCATGGGATACCATGGTATCCCCAACATTTAACTGCAAATTATTATGTAAAATTGTCCCCTTAATCCGAAAATACTGTCAAAAATTATGAAAGTAGAGCAGTTTTTGAGATATACTTTTGACCACATTTTCGATTTCAGGGTACAATTTTACATGGAAATTGACCGCTTAATGTTTGACGAGAATTATTAGTGGCTGCTTTTTCGCTATGACAATTAGTCATTTTTGACTAATTCATTTTTAAATAGTAAGGCTAACATAAATTCTAATACAAGTTTGTCAATAAAGTATAATGAAATGTGAGTTGACCATTAAAAAAAAAGTATCTACTTATGGAAAATACTTGTTTGAAATTATTATTAAAATTTGTCCTAAAATCAGATGTTTTTGGTGCATTTCAGTGTGCCAGTCACGGCACCATAAAGTGGTGGAGGAATTGATACTACAAATACACTGTGCACCAAAAATCAAACCGCACCGGACTATTTTTTTCTGGTTTGTATAAGTTAGCTCGAATTTTTTTTATGTCTGTTTGTATTTTCTAGCTTCATATACCACAATTTAGACTTAAAAATCGTTTTTTTCTCTCATATATTCAATTTATATCGTCTAGATTTTTTGTAGAAATTTAGTTACTGAACAAATAAATCCATTTTGTGAACAACCTATATCCCAAAACCCAATTTTTGGGACCAAATATTCGAAAAATTACATTTTTTCAATTTTTCAAAAATATATAAAAAATTTCATATCAAAACATACAGTAATCTGATTCATTGCTAGAGAATTCCATCCCTTTCACTTCTCCTTTATTTTCTTGTTCTTCATTTTTATTTTTTGATCCAATTCCAATATTTGGTCCCAAAAATTTGGTTTTTGGATACACGTTGCTTACAAAATGGGTTTATTTGTTTGGTAACTACATTTCTACAAAAAATCTTGACGATAAAAATCGAATATATACAAAAAAAATCGATGTATAAGTCTAAATTGGGGTATAGGAAGCTCGAAAATTATGATTGATGAATTGATGAAGTATCGATAATTTGTTGTATTGATATTTAACATCCCCAATAAAAAGCGCGTTGATTTTCGATATGCAACACAATTTCCATGAAGGGCTTTACAGTTTTGCACACCCTGTATTTAACATTCAAAGGCAAAAAGCTTGTAACATAGCCTAGGGGGCTATGGGGAAAAACTAATTTATAAAAAGTGGACTTGGATTAACCTAATTTGAAGGCGTTGATTTGTAAATAAAGTAGAATTTCTGTTGGTGCAGGTCCGACGAACTGTTGCAACGCTGGTAGCAGTAGCACAAGGTAAAGTGAGCCTTAGAGATATTAAATATATGCTAGAAGTGCCCGCCGTGAGTAGCTGGCTGCCTCAAATCAAACTAGTCGAAGCGCACGGATTGTATCTGAGCGAAGTACGGTACAGCCCCGAGGACGTTGCGTTGTTTCGCGAGAGCATTAGCTAAAAAAAAATAAATATGGTAGGATCTAGGGTTTACGTGGGTGGGTTGCCCTACGGGACGAACGAGCGCGACCTGGAACGGTTTTTCCGCGGCTACGGCCGCATGCGAGACGTCCTCATCAAAAACGGCTACGGGTTTGTTGAATTTGACGATTATCGCGATGCCGACGATGCTGTATATGAACTAAACGGTAAAAAACTTTTAGGGGAGCGTGTGACTGTGGAAAGGGCCAGAGGCACTCCCAGGGGTCGCGACCAATGGTCCACCAGCAGCCGCAGTGAGCACCGCTCCCACGAACGATATGGTCCGCCCACGAGGACAAACTATCGCTTGATCGTCGAAAATCTATCGTCCCGGATCAGCTGGCAAGATCTGAAAGATTACATGCGCCAAGCCGGCGAGGTCACTTACGCCGACGCTCACAAGCAGCACCGCAACGAGGGGGTTGTCGAATTTGCCAGCAGCAGCGACCTGAAAAACGCCATCGAAAAGCTCGATAACACCGAGCTGAACGGCAAAAAGATCCGTTTGGTCGAAGACCAGAACACCAAGCGCAGAAGAAGCGGCTCGTACAGCAGCAGAAGCCGCTCCAGAAGCAGGTCGGGCCGTCGTTCGAGGTCGCGCAGCCGCTCCAGATCCAAGAGCAAAAAATCCAAATCGCGCTCCAAGAGTCCCAGGGAGTCTAGAGACAAACGTGGCAAGTCTAGGTCCAGGTCTAGGTCAGTCAAAAAATCCGTGGACAGATCTCGCTCAAACTCCCGGAAGAAGAGCGTCGAAAGGTCCAGATCCAGGTCCGTGAAGAGGTCCAGATCCAGATCTGTAAAGAGGTCCAGATCCAGATCTGTAAAGAGGTCCAGATCCAGATCTGTAAAGAGGTCTAGGTCTCCAAAGAGGTCCAGATCAAGGTCTGCGAAGAGGTCCAGATCCAGGTCCGCGAAGAGGTCCAAATCTAGGTCCGTGAAGAGGTCCAGATCCAGGTCTGCGCAGAGGTCCAGATCCAGGTCTGTGAAGAGGTCGAGATCCAAGTCCGCGAAGAGATCCAGATCCCCATCCCGAGAAGCATCCAAAGAAAAGTCTCGCTCCCGGTCAAGGTCAGCAAGCCAGGGCAAGAAGTCTAGGTCCAGAAGTCGATCTCGCTCCCCCAATAACTAAATCTTTATACCTACAGTGTTATTTACTTAGTAAGTACATTTACTTTACTTTTATTGTACAATATGTTGGAATCATTTTCATTTAAGTAGGAGTAGAAATTCGTAAGAGAAATTAACAAAAAGCCCATTTTATTATTAATAATTAAATATTAGACGTAAGATTTTAGAATCATGAGTTTTTTATCTGAAATCAATTCAAAAAGGAACAATTTAAAACCTACGGAAACGGTTGTGACGCGCGCCGACGGCCGCAAGTTTTTACAAACCAAAAACAGTGACGTAGAAATCGCGGAAAGATCTCACGGCTTTGTCGTGGACAATAAACCCGACGACGTACCGGCAAAAGTCGTGGATTTTTTATACTTGGGCTCCCAAGACTGTTGTGACTTGGAAGTTCTTCTTAAACACAACATTAGATATGTTCTAAGCGTCGGGGTGGATGCGCCTGACAAGCACGCTTTCGTAAAGCAGTACAAATTTGTGGAATGCCTTGATACGCCCGAAACCGACATCACAAAAATTCTAAACGTTTGCAACGAATTCATTAACTCGTCCATCGTCGACAAATGCAATGTTTTGGTTCACTGTAACGCAGGCGTAAGCCGATCGTCATCCATAGTGTTGGGTTATTTAATTACCGCGCGCCAATACGCGTATATTGACGCATTCAACATTGTCAAATCTGCAAGAAATTGCATCAAACCAAATGATGGATTTCAAAATCAATTAAAACAATTATCTAGATTTTAATTTGTTCTGTATAACCATTTTCATGTAATATTATCGACATATTTTTTATAATGTAATTATATTGTAATAGACAGAATAATGTTTGTCAAGATGTAATTGCATAGCATTAATTTTATAAATAAATACACCTTGTTTTTGTAAAAATTGTTTATTTTACCTTATCCACCCAAATATTTATTTTAGGAAATACTTTTTACAATTTATTCTAAAAATCTTTTATCCAAACGATAAATTCACACCTCATTTTTGAATGGGAACAGCAAGTCACTAAAAGCAGGTGTCATAAACACAAACACATTTTTTAAACTCTTTATTTACCTTCAAGAATGGTCATCATAATTTTTAACAATAGCCTGATTGCTTGGATAATATTTCATAAATTCTTTGTCAGTGCTTTCAATACTTTCGTCAATATTATCGTACACTATCTTAAACAAGTTGAAAAATAATATCAGATGTTTTTATTACATTCCTATGCAGGTATTTAATCACTAATTTATAGCATTAAGTGGTTCAATTATTCTTGGGAAAATTGTTTTTATTGTTTTAACTACGTTTAAAAAATAAGGGTTGCCAGATATATACTGGGTGTTTAATCGAAAAACACTAACCTTCCTTGTATATATTGTATTTAAATTGTAAAGTAATTTTTAAACAAAGGCCATAATCGTTATTACGTTTATTTGCATATAAAGCTGTTGTTGGTTTATATCGGTTATAAGCAAATTGCCTATTGAGAAGTGATTACTGGTCAGGCAAATTTGCGGTTATAAAATAATGATGCACTATTGAGATTTATCTCTTAACAAGGTAGGTAATTGAATATCAGCATGGAAATAACGATATTTGATATTGCGGTTTTGGAAATCGGTATCAAATTTATTTGAAATATTAAGAAAATGTAAATTTTTTTACTGGTTTCCTTTTGGTCAAAGAATGGTCAGTAAATCGTACCCTATTTTTGACGAAATTTGGAAAAACTAGTGTAGAAACTCACATAACTAAAATGAATCATACAAATTTGTATAATAGAAAAAATCATTATGGCAATGAGTCAGTGGCGGCTCGTGGCAGTAAAATTTGTGAGTTCTGCCAGTGGGGTTTAAAAAAATGTGGCGCAGTTGGCATTTAATTAAATGGTACCTACAGATAATTAATTAAATCATAATTAAATCATACACCACATTCATTCTTACAAAAGAATACAACAACAAACACAAAACACAAAAATACACAGAATTAACAGTCTTCTAGTTAAAATAACAAACGTGAACGCGAAGCGAAAAACAAACGACCGTGAAGTAGGAACTGTATGTTGGTGCAGCTCCGATTTGGCTTAAATTTCACTATCTTAACCCAGGGCCAAGAGCGGCGCGGGGCAAAATTACGGTATTGAAATGGGAACCAGAACTCGAAAGTGGCCCAGCTTTGTTGTATTGTAAGCGTTAAGCGTTAGAGACCTTTACCGGTCGTTTGGATGACTGTAGTGGCCAAGTACGGCGACACGGCAAATGTTTATAATAAAAACTTTTTATGCAGCCTTGCGTTTGAAATATTTATAGGTACACTGTCGCACTTAAATATTAAATAATTAAAAAAATAGTCAAGTAATAAGAAAATTTTGGGAGTTCTGCAGCTCTGCAGCCCTTATACACTAGCCGCCCCTGCAATGAGTCACAGGAAATCAATTAGTGAAAAATAATTACTTTAAATATATGACTTAAATATTAAAGTCATTTGAATTTCGAAATTAATTTACTTTAAATAAATATACAGGGTGCATCAAGTATTCTTCTATGTGTGTACTATACATATGGTTATTATTTAAAAAATCTGAATTATACAGATTTTATACCATTTTAAATTTTTAATATTTCTTTTAAAAGAAATAATAAAAGTTTAAAATGATATAAAATCCGTTTGATTTGGATTTTTTAAATAAAATTTAAAATTTGTCGATAAACTATGGTAATTAATAAATTGCACCAATTAAATTTATATTATATTTATTGGGGGCGCCATGGGAACGGTACTGCCGAGTAAAAAGTTATATATTTTTGGCAAACTTCAATATAAATTCTGCTTGTGCAGAACTTGTTTATTTAATGTCATTATAAACTCATATAAATTTGGTGTGGGTCCCATATCTAATAATTTAGATATCGGTATACCTAAAATACAAAACAATTATTTTTCTAAATTTTCATCCAATTTTTTTTCTTTTTTCGAACCCAAGCCTCCTGGATGAAATACATTTATATGTCATATAATAACAATTACATTACAAAACCCTTGTCATAGGTGTCCTAATTACTAGACCATACGGGATAAACTTTATACTAAACAATAGTTATTTATGTCATTAGGTTAAGAAGTAAGGCTTTTTGTGCTAAGCTCAAGGTTTGAAGGCCGACGCGTAGCGGAGGCCTACAATTGAGCGAAGCACAAAAAGGCAATTCTTAGCCGAATGGCATACAACATTTTATCTTCAAAGCACTTTATATAGGTCAATTTAATTCAACATCAAAGCGGCCTAACCTCACTTTTTTAGAATCTCATTTATTTATTAGCTAAAGATTACATTAAATGTACAATAATTATTATTGCTTTTAGAAGCAGAAATAGTTTGACAATACCTAGCTACATGATTTAAGTAGAAATGGATTTTTGCTATTACATTGAATTCAATTAATTGTTTAATAAATAGGTAGGTACCTAATTTCAATTTGTTTGGATTTTTATTTAAAAAATAGGTATTTTGGAATGTTTAAGCTGTGTTTAACATTTAATTTCACTGAAAACTTAAAGCAAATTAAAACTTGAAGAAAATTTAAATCATAGAAAAAGAATCGTGCGTTTTTTTGCTTGCCTAACCTCACTTTTTGTTTTATCATTCATATTTAATTTTACAATAATTTAATGAAAAATATTAAACATTAACAGTAAAACAAACAAATTATTGCTTATTATAAATAAATTAAACTAGTTTAGTACGTTAATTTCTTAGAAAAGGATTAATTCGTCAAAACAATACCCCTAGCGAGAAAAAATCGAACTAATTACTTGCCTCATACAAATTTTTATCGGCCTAGGCCATAACAAGGTATTTCTTTATCGAATGTTATCGAAACTTATTATCCCGCGCGCTTAAATTTATCAAAAAAAAGACTAAAGAAAACTTTTTTGTAGATCAGTTAATTATCAACAAAAATAAGTAATAAGTAGTAAATATTTCAAATTTCTAACTATTTTGCGAGTTATACATACGCGCGCTTAAATTTATCAAAAAAAAAGACTAAAGAAAACTTTTTTGTAGATCAGTTAATTATCAACAAAAATAAGTAATAAGAAGTAAATATTTCAAATTTCTAACTATTTTGCGAGTTATACAATTTTGAAAAATTTCCAAGATATCTTTGCGAAAAAACAAATATAGCTAGCTTTAAACGATTTTTAGTTTTGACAGGTTTTCAGTTTTTTCAAATTAGCCGATAAAATGACTGTTCATAATAAAAAACAATTTTTAATTAAGAAGGTAAAACCTCAAAAACACCTAAAAGAGCAAAATTACGACAAACATTCGCGTTTTAAATAATTTACGTACAGTGGTCAAATAAATTAAACCTGTAAATTTACCGAGGTACTTATTTAAACTCGCAGTTTACAATAGCTGCCCTCACATAAATTTCGTAGATATTAGCGTAGTTAATTTATATGCTTACCGTTAATGCGCACTTTGCACCTCTCTTCTCGACCCCTGTAGATTCTCTTGATGCATATCTCATCTGCGATGCCAGTTTCGTTTTCGATGATATACAGCGATAACTGAATGCGAAAGATTGTGTCATTTTTCTTGTACTTTATCATTTATTCTGTAGTACCGTTTCCTTCTTATGTTATTTATGGCGTTACTTATTTTTTTTTGTTCTGCTTAGTGCTTGGGCTTTAAAAAACGAGCTGATTGTACGAAAATCAGTAAATACTCTTTAGATTGTGCAATTTCATGATAATAAAACTTAGACTGTCTTAATACCATGGTGCAATTTGTCTTCTACATCTAAATATATTAACTATTAGAGAAAAATAATTATTTAACAAAGTGCATATTTAATATTTGTTTTTTGCTAGTAGGTATATCATTCTGAATATAAATAAAAACTGAAACAAAAAAAAATAATGAAAAAGCCCCTTTTTGTCGACAATTAATTAAATAATAGTTTTTCTACTCCCATCGTTAAAATGCCCATTATCGTACATGTTTCCATGATCTTTTAAATGCCTCTACGGTAGAGGCTCTACCCTTGAATGACGATGATGTTCTTGATAAAGATCAAAGTATGAAAATTAAGTTTTATAATGAAAAAATCTTGCGCTATACAGAGTGGTAAAATTTTCAGAAACTCGGAAATCTTGGATATCTTGGTTCGGTTTTGATTTATTGAAAAAAAACTTAAAAATGTAATTTTTTATTAAAATTAATAGGTCTTTTTAACATTCTAGTTATGTTGGTGGATTTGTATTTTTGACAGCTGTCAATTTAATGGCATTGTCAAAAAAATTCTAGGCCTTCTAGATTTTGAGCAACGATAGGCAACTTTTCAATTTCTTATGGGCGCCATATTGGTTTTTGACATAATTAGATGGAGAACAAAGTTTCCTTGATGATGAGCGGTTGGAAACATGTACGATAATGGGCGTTTTAAAGGTGGAAGTAGAAAAAATATTATCAATTGATTTGAGCTTCATTGTTACATTCTCCTGATGCTAAAATTTAGGGATTTCAAAAAAGATTTTTAATTCTCTATTTTTTTTCTTCAAAAAGTTTATTTTTTACATAATACCAAAATTATACTTATGTAATTAAATAATAATTTAAGTTTTTTATAAATAAAAAAAATATTTTTTTTATAAAACAACAGATTTGTATTTATCTTATATTCAATATATGTATGTTGAAAACAAATCTGCGTTTTAGTTTGACGATTATGCATTGTATTAGAATCTATAGTGGTATCACAACCTAAAAAACACCACTTGATATACAGGGTGTTTCACATTCGTGGTGCATTGGAATTTTCCCCATGGGGAACGGAAAAAGATATCAATCTTAAAATTTTAATTTAAAAGTAATACAAACAGAATTTGTTAATTTTGAAAAAAAAATCAACAAAGCTGTAGAATGTCAACTAGATAAAATATTAAATTTATTTTATGAAATATTTTAATAACAAAAAATACCTAATTTTAACAATTTAATAAACCAACAATCTTTTAATTAACAATTTTTATTACAAATTTATTATTATACATATGTTCAAAGTGTCTGAAATTATTAAATTTAGGTATAGGGAATAGTTACATTAATTAAAATGTTTTTTAATTTTCTATTTGATTATGTGAAAACTTACAGGGTTTTTCATTTAAAATAAAAAAGTTATTATTATTACTCTATTTGCCCTGGGTACTTTGTTGAAAAAAGTTAAAGAATTAAAATAAAATCTTTTAAACAATGCATTAAGAATTCAAAAATTCCACCCCCATATCCGCAAAAGCTATTTTTAATTGACGCGCATTTTTCAAATTTTAACAAAAAAATTAATAAATCGAAAACTATTCACTTTAGGGATAGAACATGGTAAAGTTATTTTACTCATAATTATAATTATACATACGTAAAATTTGAAAATGTAAAAATATATGGGGTGTTTTATTTAAAATAACAAATTTAATGTAACTTTCGGTCAAACCGGAAGTGGCATTTTGTCAAATTATTTTAGAAATTTTAAATCTTTTGCCGTTCCTTAGAAACTGTCAATGGACCACGAACGTGAAACACCCTGTATTTTGTATATGTGCAACAACCTATACATAAATAAAATAATTTTTTCTACTCCCACCTTTAAAACGCCCTTTATCGTACCTACATGTTTTCATGACACTAGTGATGTTTTAAATACACATTGACAAGTTGTGGCTTTACGGCGCTTTAGTCACGGGCTGAAGTTAGAAACAGGTTTTTAGTCACGGGTTGAAGTTAGATTTAAGTTAGTTGACAGTTGTCAAATGTCATACAATCGTTAAAATAAAGTGCCTTTCTTGTAAAATAATACTAAATGTGAAAATTATTTTATTATCTCAATACACAAATACAAAATATTAAATAGTTTCTTAACGCCAATATTTGAAAAGTTTATATGAACATTGTACTGGCCTTTTAATTTCGCCGGCAGTAAACTATAACTTAAATTCGGGCACGGAATCCACTGTAAAGTGTTCATAAAACATTTTCTTTACTTTCACTGTGAAAAACTGTAAATTTTCAAGAAATACATTTCGATTTATAACCTTTATAATTGTGTTTATAAAATACAAAAAATTGACATTTGACGGTGACACACAGATTCCCCTATTGTTTCATAGATGGCGCTCTATACAAATTTTCGATTTAAATCATTTTAAGATAATAATAAGTATTTGTCGTAGAAAAAGTATAGTATGCACCTCGTTTCTAAACTTTTCTAAACACTCATTAATTAAATTAAATTCGTGTATAAAATGGCGTTTATCAAACTGTCCATTTATTCAGTGGATAACATTTTATTGGATCGCACTTAAAAAAACTGACGTGATTTAAAAAAACGCCGTCTATTTATATTAAGTCTTTTTTCAAAATCTATAGGAATTTTTCATGGGAGGGAAAAAAATCAAATTTTGTCGTTCTGTGTAATATCTACTAAAGATTTTCTCACACAGTACTATTAGCACTTGCAAACACAATGTTCTCATATTATGAAAATAATAGTTTATCTCGATGGCTACATTCGTCCGGAATGCATCTCGGTGCCTATCTTGCAAATCTCGCGAGGCTGGGGTCGAGAAGGTCCTCCAGAGAGCTCCGCCGGAGCGAAGCGCATCGAAACGCCGCATGTGCTTCCCATACAGCCGATGCGGAGCAGTGCGATGCGGCTCGGCTGTTTCAGTTTCGATTTAGTTGCGCGCCGTCCACTAAAGAGCGCGAGCCTTTCGAAAATGCGCGCTACGAACACCTAACAACCCGAATTTGCATTTGTTAACGTTATTTGTTTAATTATCACGATGTGTCGCTATTGTTTGATGAGTTTTATTGTGTGCCTGGTGCTCGCCAATGTGTGTCTAGTGCGTAGTTTTAACCTAGAGACTTCTAATTATGCTCTGTTTAGAGCCCCTAGTGACAATTCTATGTTTGGATTTACGGTGGCGATACACAAAGAACGATCGACTCCCTGGTAAATACATTTTATTTTATTTTATTTTATTTTCGAGATTTTATGCAGATAAAATTGGCGCAATTCCAACGAAAAAATAAAATATATAATCTAAAAATAATATTCAAAAAATGTGTTAATTATAATTATTATTAAAAAACAATCAATTAGATTGGTCAGAACTTTAGCGGACAAATTAAATCAACCTAAAAATATTGTTTTCCAATCCTATGGAAAAATAGTTATTCAATAATTTTTGTATAAGATGTCGTTTATGGGTGAATCTCAGATTTTTAACCGCAATTAATTATTTTTTACAATGTTTTAAAAGTTTAAAACCTATCCTCCGTGACTGTTACTCTTTCTAGGTTATGTTTTCAAATATCTGAGGTAAAATTAAAAGAAATAATTTTTATAACCATTTATGTAGGTGTTACAAAAATTGATTCTATCCTCCGTGAATCTGTTTTTGCTTTAAATTTTATGCAACGGATGGCGCTTTAATCATTTTAAATAAGCAAAAACCTCTGTTTACGACATTATAGATGCATGTGATTCCTGAATGTCAGTTAGAATTTATATGCAGATGAGAGTGTTGCTGTTTTATAATTCAAAAGTTTAAGTTCATTAATTTGCTATTTAAAAACCTATCCACCGTGAAGTGTAATATCTCAGTAAGTAGATTTTTTTATAAATATTTTATGTACGTACAATTGTATTTTTAAAAAATATTAAGGTGTCAAAAGATACAATAGCTTATTTCAAATACCTATACAAATGGTTGTTAAAAAAACATACGAAATCCTAACCTCCGTGATGCTATCTTCCGTGAAGCTCTAATATTCAAAATGTATGATTTCTTAAAATTCTTGCATTAGTGCAGAACCACTTATGTTATGTTATTACTAAACCTGGTGGCTTCCCAAAAACCCCATTCTACACTAACAGTGAAACAACCAAAAATAAAAAATAATCATTTTCACTTGGGGAAAATCTCAATATATTCACCCTTATATTAAGAAAGAATAATTTTTTTTTATTTTAAAACCAAGGAAAGAACTGTCTACATTACATCCTCCCTGGAAAGTTCAATCTTAATAGTATACCTATTATGTATCAAGTTTGATAAACGCCATTTTAGTTACGAGTTTAATTAAGCACGAGCGAAGCTTGCGAGCGAGTGTTTAATAAAAACGAGTGTCTAGAGAAGTTTATAAACGAGTTGCATACTATACTTTATCTACGACGACTACAAAGCCAATTTTATTTGTTAAAATTTTGACATCTGTCAACTGTCACCCGAATTTAACCTCACTTTTTCCCAATTTATAATAAAGCTAACTTCAGCCCTTGACGTAAAATGTCGAAAAGCCACTGTTGTTAACTTCAGCCCGTCAATAAAACCATAAAGTTACAGCTCGTCAATGTAGGAGTAGATAAAATTATTTATTAGCAATTTTAGGATTGAAAATTTCAATATTTCAATTTGAAATATTATTTTAATTATTACATACTGTTTTGAATTCGTAAAATTAATTATTTTTTTCGTTTAAATAAGCTTTCTTCATTTAGAAAATTTTATTATACCGAGTGTATCATGCTGTGGATTAATCTTGTATTATTTTTTAAAGAACTAAATATGTATTATAGGGTGTAGGTTACTACTTCGGCCATTTTTTCAAAATTGATTTTTTTACCATAAAACTTATTTTATTAAATTTTATTAATAAAATTGCGTTAAAAACGATTTTTAAATCAATCAATAGTTTTTTTAAATATTTATAAAAAATAAAAATATTTTCTTTAGAAAATGTTATTTTAAACGATTATTTTGTTTATTTTAAAAAATTGCATTTCAAAATACAAAAATGCGAACAATTTAAATTTTTAATGTGAATAACCAAAAATACACATTTAATTCTGGGTGGCTAATTTATTATAATAAATATGACGAAGTCCGCAACTAAACGTCCTAATTATCTTTTTTAGATCAAGCTAAATTGATTTAAATTAAATAATTGCAAATAATACACGCTCACTGCATAATCTTTGGCTGCATACTTACGCTTAATTCCCTAATGATAATCTTTACGGTCGAAAATTAAACTTTCACATAAAAAAAATAAATAAAGTTTATTTTTTGCGGACCACCTTTATTTATTATCGATTAAGGCGTTAAAGGTTCGGCTTTTATGATTTTATTGATAATTTAGCAAATAACCTAGATACTCTTATATTTAGGTCAACCGTATACGTAATATATTGTATACAATACGGTTATTATAATAAAAGTGCATTTTATACACATTTTAAAATAAATGTTGCTAAATTTGTTTAAATTTTATGGTGTTTAACAAATAAAAAACTTACTCATTAGATTTGCTCACTGATGTATATGATGCTAGAGCTATTTAAATATTTCACGAGTAACTAATAAAAAATAATTCTTCAAGGACAATACAAATTAATTTCAATCAATTTGATACGAATCATTAAAGCTAAAACAATTTCGTTGGCTAAATTTATCATAGGATCCCAAATAACACTAATGCTCTTATTGCGATCTCCAAGGTGGCTTTAAACTATACAATAAAACTTTGAATAAAACCAAATGATCTTCAAGACAACAATAATAATAATAATAATAATAATAATTTAGCCAAAAAGGGCCCACCCTGAAAGGGTTTTCAAGGCTAAATTTCTTTTTCTTCTTAATGTGTTTTAATGAGTACATTAAGGGTACTCCCTAAAACTACATTAAAACTATTTGTTTCAAATCCGATTGTTTTAAAACCAACTTGCTATGTAATCCTTTAAAAAACAAATTAGTTTTAAGAGAGTATTATAAAATCAGTATAAGGTCAATAGGGCGTTTAGAGCAAATAGTTGTTTTATTTTAATTTAAAGAGTACATTGAAATATTTGCATAAGAAAAAGTGGCCTAAAAACTTTTAGTTTATTTTAAGGTAACTTTTTTAATTTAAACATTGGTTTTACTAAACATATCAAAGCACTTTTAAACCTTAAATAAATAAAAAGTATCTTATATAAACTAAACCAGAACTGAAAAAATACCGCTCATTGTTTATAACAATAGTAAAATAAGTAAATCAGGTATTATTAACATTGCATATATTACCTACACCTATATATTTTAATTCAAGGCTTTATATCGGCTTGCAGCTAAAAAGATACTTATTATTAATAAATAAATGTTGATTTTATTTTTACATTTTTAAATAGAGCATGTAGCAAGCTGGACTGTTGTTATAATTCTGGCAGAAGTTCCGTAAAACTGATTATTTTATTTGTAAAACCATAACATATTTTGTAATATACCTATACGAACTGTATAATATTACTAAACATTTTACCAACTAACTATTAATCACGGTGTGTGTGAACGAAGTTTAAGTCACATAAAAATGCCGCCAAAAACTGATTGCAGTTTCTTGTTCAGGCCCTTAGGTGACTTAAAAATGATATTTACCAAAATCCTAGCTGCTCCTCTTTTCGAATTTTTTTAAAAATTCATGATTTTTTTTTAAATTTTTGTTTATTTCAAAGTCTACCTTTGACAGAGTGCACATTTGTACACCGATTTTTATAAAATTGCAGTATATTATTGAGGAGACTTAGAGAATACTTTTTAATATTGTTCACTTCATTTGATATATACAGGGTTAGCCAAAAATCGCTTATTTTTAATAAAGCAAAGGCGTAAATTTATGGTTTTTGCATAACACGCAAAAAAGATTTATCTCCAATTTTTTTAAATATTTCTACGTTTATCAGGTTACAAAATGGCATTCTTATTAACCTTTTATAAGAAAAGTAGATTTTTAATAAAATTAAATAAAAGAATATTCAAAATGTTGTTTAATTTAGGCTTTTTAGTAGATTTCAATTTTGAACGAAAAACTTTTTGAAATTTTTTGATCGGGACTCTTTGGCGATTTTAAAACGATATTTACCAAAATTCTAACTTTTTTTTAATTTGTAAAAAATTCAATATTATCTAGTATATTGTTAGTCTCGTTAGAATACTGACACGGTATGTCTGAATAAATGACAAAACAATATTTTGAAAATAGCACAAAATCACATAGAAAAATTTATTGTGAACAGTTTTAATATAACTTAAAATTATTATCATTACAATCAATACCTAATATATTACTAATGATAATAATTTTAAGTTATATTAAAACTGTTCACAATAAATTTTTCTATGTGATTTTGTGCTATTTTCAAAATATTGTTTTGTCATTTATCGCATTTTTTTTGTAATCCTGTTGAATTAATTAATTATGCACGGGTTATAAAAACCAATCTTAACCTAAATCTAATTTTTTATACTTTGTTTTTGTCTGTAATACTTTTCTAGCATTTTTCTTGTAATTTTAAGTTTGTACGTTGGCATTCCGAAAACATAACATGCGTAGAAGACACATTTTCAAAGTTTTTGTATTTTTTAGCACGCGTATGATTAATATATAGGTTAATAATAATAGTAATAATAATATTCTTTATTTCAAAATATTTACATACAAAATATTCGACATATTGTCAGGAAAAAAATCATAACACTCCCAAAGCATCAAAGCTTAAGTTTATTAAACTCAAAACATGCTTCCCTTACCTAGGTTGCAGTCTTCAAGAAATAGTTTATTTATAAAACAAATTCTCTGTAAGTGAACATTATTGAATACAAAACCATCGATTTACATAAAACAGAGTATTAGTTACGCGCGCATCTGCAACGCATTTACTTAGAAAAAATCCAAAGTGCACATGTGCCTTGTAGTTTTTATTGGTTAGTAAATACGTCATAAAATGTAAACTGTAAAAGTACGCCGAACAGTTCCGCCACAGAATAACGAAGACATGTGGAAAGGAACCGCATACCTACTTAGTTTCGAGACTTGGATTAAAGATCCGAGAAGAAACAGATTTACAGGTACACATGTTTTTGCCATCTGTGCTTTACCTTGCAAAAATTCAATTATTATAATACTTAA